TTCCCCCCCCCCCAAAAAAAAAACCCAAAACCCCCCCCCCTTCAAGAAAATAATTATTTGTGTAAAATTTAATCTTTTTGACCTTTTAGTAAATAGGGTTTATTGTATTCTAATTTCAAATGAGAGCTTAGATTTTTTTTATTAATAAGTTTTTTATCTTTTTCATATTTGGAATTGTAAATTGTTGGAAAACGTTATATATTAGGTTTGGTTTTTTGGTTCTCTCAATGCTCTATATTATTTGCCTTCTTTTTATTTCCATTTTCAATAAAGTTTTATATGGATGAGAAATTATAATTATTGTGGAGGATTGTACCTTTTGATACATAAAGTCTATTTATTTTATTTTAAGTACTTTTTCTAAAAAGTAATAACTACACAACAATTATTTTTTCCTCTTTGATACTTTTATAATTACGTTTTTTAATATCAATAAAATAACATAATATTGATGTTTTTTACATTTTTTTTACAACAAAACTTTAAAAATATATTATCCCATTTCCATTGCCCTTTTAAATTTTAACTGTTTAAAGAAATGGAAAATCTTATTCAGTAATAATCATTTGGATAAAATATCAATCCGTAAATTTTATTTCACAAAAATTAAATTAAATGGATTGTTATATTGTGATGTCCCTAGTATAATTAAATTGAATAATTTAATATATTGTAAATGAATGATCCGCATAAATTCAAAAACATTTCATTTAATGATAATCAATGAATGTCCTCCTTAAACGAAAAAGATAAATATAAATATTCCGTAGTTGAACTTCATCGAAACATTTAATGTATATCAGTTTGTTTTGTTTCTAAAAAAAAGAAGCACTCCATTACAACTAGAATCAAGTTTGGTACCAAGAACAACCTCGACGATAAATAAACCTCGAGATTTTTTCGAATTTAATTCCTTCTTATGGCAACTATTAACTATTGTTCTATAGGCAATATCATATTATGTAACCAGATGTAACCAGATGTATGAACCTAGAGACAGTTCAATCCAACGGTTTCTCCCTCAATGCAACCCTATCTAAATGCATGGTTTATGTGCGTCCCCAAATCACAGGGTGAAGGTACGTCCAAAGGTTTTCACTGCTGCAACCTCACCTAACCGAGTTCTGGTTCTGAGTAAATTTTCGGCGTATGCAACTGTCAATTTTCCCAAACTCCAGCAGCTTTGTGGAACTTGATTATCCATTCCGCACCAATCCCTACAATGTTACAGTCAGCATAAATGGAATTATTCCCATAACTTGTAAAAAGTGATAGAACAAGTTTTGAGTATGCCTGAGCTGTGAAAACTTCACAACGCGCATGCTTGTGATTAGTAAATGGGGTCCATGGTGGAGATATTTTTGCAAAGTTAACACCGTGCAAACATAGAGAGTCTGATGCCACTAATAAATGAAGGCTTGAATGCTAAGCTCCATATTCAACTATCATAGTCAAACCAGAAAGAATGCCATGTGTTTCAATCCTGGAAGAATAAATTCAAGACCAAAATTTAGAAATCAAACTTTTGATGTGTTTCCTGCAAAAGAGGCATCACTGGGTCATATTTCATATTGATTTTTTACCTCATACGTCCCCAGCTGCCAATGATAAACAATTTGTATGACCCATGCATGCTGAATTACATACCTTTTTATTTGATTGTCCCAGCCTTCAGAACCGCACCAAAAAAAACCAAACATAATGATAGGAGCACTTGAAGACCGGAATTTTTTAAATTTTCCTAAGAATAAGTTTTTCCTGTACAGAGAGCCAAAACGAACACATTAGAATAAACTTCAAGTAACGAATCGTTCACTCTTAACATAACGATGAAAGGGAGAAGTGCAATTTACGTATGCCCTTTAAAATCCAACTTCTTACCATTCCAGCAGTTTCATCTCTCAGCAATCAAATAACCCAGCATAGATGCTAATTAAATCTTTGACCTGGAACATGCACAAAAAGAGGAGCCCCGAAAGCATGTCCATCTTTTCTTTCCAAAGTGTACATGCTCAATATGGCTTATTACCCAGATGCCAAAACCAAAATCCCTCATCATTTTTGCAAGCCGCAAAAGTGCTTGTATACAACCAAACTGCTATCAGTCTTTTGATATCCCACCAGGGACAGAATTGTATCCAGCACGTAACAGTGAGATCAGTGTTTTTCTAGGCATCACATCAAATTTGATGTACCTAACAACAGCCAATGATGAATGAGGCAAAGAAAGTGACTATGATTAAGTAATAGGCCGAACACAGAAAATGAAGAAACATATGATGAAAGAAAAGCCATGGAAATCCCTTTTACTTCAATATAGATCCAGTTGAACCAAAATTGCCCCGCAAACTGTGGTGTAATGTCCAGTCTGAATTTGACATGTACTTTTGCTAGAGCTGGATTAACGTGGCCCCTTCAGTTGAAACAATTTTTTATAAATAAAAACTATTATTTGATTACTAAGAGGATATTGGAATAAAATGTTACAATTAATTTGTATAGATGGGCCCCAGTGGTTGATTACACCAACAAGTGAAAGCACAAAATCAGTAAAACAATGTTCCATTCACAACAACGATGACAAAGCTCGATCAAGGTTGCATCATCTCCTCACGTTAGTGTAATAAAGTATTTATTCAAGCAATAATGGAGAGATTTTTTAAAAAAAAACGGTAAATTTGCATTGAGTGTCAGTGTCTTGTATTGGAAGTGCTGATTACGATAGTTGCTTGGTCGTTGTCTAAGAAGTTTTTTTTTTAAATTATATTGTAATACAGTCCAACTTTTGAAATGCATATGTTTTGGTATCACTTACAGTAAAAAACAATACTTCAGTGACCAAAAGTAAGAAATGAGAAAAAAAAGAATAAAGACTCAAAAAGAGAATAACTTTTTTTGCTCTCTTAATTTTTCCTCTAAATAAACCTAACATTATGGGAGACTTTGGATGATTTAAAGACTCCACCAAGCTTCCCTATGGTGCTTGGTGGGGCAAAATCACAAAGTAAAACGTTTTACTACTTCCATCCGAACGTGGGATTTTTATTTCTTAAATACATAGCTTACATCTAAATTGTTTGTTGTAGAAAATTACCTAATTTCCATACTTGGTGTGAAGCATTAAAGCCATAACATGTGATGGAGGAACTAGAAAGAAAGAGACAGCACGTTTCATTAGAGAAGAACTTCACTCAACTATATAAAGGAACTAAAATATTTTTTAGGTAAACGAGTAACAAATTGAAACCAAAAGCGACTTCAATAGACATCTATGCGGCTGGAGCATAATGAAGAACGAATCAAGTAAAAAAATGTGGTAAGGAAGACTAATGATTATGAGATGAGATCGTTCTAGGGGAAGTCAAAAATCGCAGTAGATCAAAATTTCAAAGAATTTCAAATACTACAACTGTGGCATGAGTGCACTTGGAGAAAGATTGTTAGCAAAAGAATGGAGAGAGTATCAACGTCTCATAGTTGTTACAAGTATCAACCTCTCAACCACCCATGTTATATTATCAACCTCTCAAACATCTAATATCATCACAGAATAAATTTACTCATCTACAAAAAAAAAGTACATATCTAGAGTAATGGGTAACAAAGAGGATAACATAACATAAAAAGGAGCTGACATCATAGGCACGATGAGTATTACCTCAGTAACCCAATAGTACTGATATATGTCATCAACGTATTCAGAAACTTCAAACTGATTGCTTTCATTATCTATATTGGGTAGGTTATTTTGCTCTCTAACTTCACTTTCCTTGAGAAACTGCAAAATAAGGGGCAACATGTCATTAAATTGACGGAAACTAAAAAGGAACTAGTAGTTTCATTTGAGCATCAAACCTTAGATCCTTCAATTAATGAACTTGTATATGATTTTCGGCGACTGGATTTTTTCCTTGGAATAATCTCTGAAAGATCAGTTTTTAGTGTGCTCTCAGATGGAAGATGTCTTTGATTTGCATCATCAGAAACTGTCGAGTCATTCCCAGGAAGAGACAAAGAAACTGTTTCTTTTTTCTGAGATAAGGTTGCACTAGCCGATTCTAATTTGTTCTGAGCTGATATGGATTTGTTCAGAGATGACGTTGCAATAGTTGATTCTAATTTACTCGGAGCTGATATGGATTTAGATTTTGAAGTCCTTTGTGCAATGGAAGCCTTGAGTGTGGTCTTAACAATTGGCTGAAACGAACAAAAACTCAGGTTCACACTCTACAACAAATTTTCAATTACTTCTCATAAAGTTGGAGAAAAAAAATAAAAATGTAGAGGAAATTATTGACCGAGAAGACACTTCCTTATGTCATTTAAAGAACCAATTAAATATTTTGATCTTGAACAACAGTGCAAGTATCAATCATATAATATACATGTATGCGGTAAAAGGTTTTCTGCTATATTTTACTTAACCAAACTACATTGTACTGTTCGGCCTTATCAATAATCATACAGAAAACTACAGACAACTGAGTGCAGCCACCATACCTTGGCCGACTTCCTTAAGGATGCATGTGAAACATTAGGCTGAACCCTGTACAACAGGTGAATTGCATGAAAGGAACAATTAATATACAAATATGGTCTATCAATTGATAATTAATCTTTTATCAAGAATGTCAGTTAATGATGATAAACAGGCATTCAGCTACAATCTAAATATGATAATGATTTCCTATTTCATAGACTCTGTACATAAATCATCCATCTGTCTTCTTGTTCCTAAATCCTAAAGTCCACTTCCTATTGTCCTATATTCTTCCAAAAAGAAATTCAAATTCTCAGTACTAACTAGGGCGAAGCCCGGCATTGTATAGCTGCTGCAGGCTACTGTTTTTATTTGAGGGGACATGTCAAAAACTTTTATACGGAGTATTACGGGCAGTTATTGTTGGAAAGTAGTAGTAATTCAATATCAACATGTTATAACATGTCATTAGTAGTTTTACGTACTATTGGACAATCTCCAATATTAGCGAGCATGGTGCATTTCCAGGCAGCATATACAGTACTTTTCTTTTGTAATAGAAAGAATATATTTATTGTCTTCTCGTTTGCAACAAGGAACTTGTCTCTATCTTGTTTTTGAGTTAGGACCGCAATATCCTGTCTTCATATCTTTTTTGCGACTGTCACTGGAGCTTTACATTTCAGATACGTGGGGAGCATTTTGACAGTCAAAGATAACTGTGGATGCATTTGACAGTCAAAGAACGTGGATTGCTTATGTCAAAGAACAGTGGTATCCAAAGGAATAAATATCAACTTCCTTCATGTGGCTCCTTATTTGGGCCACACAATGCGAAGTGTCGGTTGCAGCTAGTTAGTTCGTTATCGTTATCTAGAATCACCTGAATTATATACTGTGGTGCATTAGATAGTCAAAAAAGATCAACAACATCGTAGAAATAGATTACGTTAAGAACGGCTTAATCTAAATATCACCCCCTTCAAGTACCTCCTTCGGCCCATCAGAATGAAGAGTGTGAATGCAGCTAATAGTATTGGTTTTCTAGACATCACTTCATAATTATATACTGTGAATGCATTCGATAGTCCAAAAGATCAACAACATCGTATAATGTGGATTACGCTAAAAAAGGGTAATCTAAATATCACCGCCTTTAAGTGCCTCCTTCTTTGACCCGTCGGAATGAAGATGCGATTGCAGCTAATAGTATAGGCCTTTCTAGACATCACTCGTAATTATATAGGGCTAATTAGCTAAGATCCTCAGTTTTGCAACTTAAAGCTAATCACACAGATAAAATGTACCGGAAGTGCATAATTTACAACAGAGCAAGCAGGAACTAAGCTAATGATATGATTAATTATCACTTACGTCAGAACAAAACCATCACTCACTCGATTCTTCCATAGATGGCTTCTTGCATTAACCATTGGGAACATCTCTTCTAATTTGTTGTTGCCTTAGCTGAATCATAACATATATAGTTTAATTAACATAGCAAATGTCATTCATTGCCAGTTTTCAAAGTGGCTATCTATGCCACAACTTCTTACAGGGTGAACGGGACAACTAGGTGGGCTTGCTGTCTTGGAACTAACACTTTTCCTGGCAATGGAAGCAAAATGCAGTATAAGAAAAGGAAAAGGATTTTGAAAAAAAAATGAAAAATATGGCAATCTGAATGAGCTATATTTTTTGGGACTTTTACCACTAGAAAAGACAAACAATAACAAAGAAATATTACCTTTGTTTTACTCGTATCTTCTCTGATTACCCTCCTTGGTACTGGTTAAACGATCTTCGTGCGTGCTTGGAAAAGACGAATATACTGGGTTTCATTCAAGTATTCAATAAAACTTCACCGAACCACTAAATGAAATGATTAATAAACCTCGTAGCTGTAGTCTTCCATGTAAACCTGCAAAATATAAAATAAAAGCGGCAATGTAATTTCTGTAATGATGTCACTTGAAGCATAAAAATCAACCATTATATAACTTTTAATACCTATTAAATGTAGATGAACAAAAGACAGTATCCTAAGTACCTGTCCTTTGTGGAGAAAACTGATTGGCCTCCTTTTGTATTATTCTTCTGATCATCTAAAGGGAGAAAAACCTCTAAATGATATTCTAAACTTCCAAAATACAATAAAAATAGTATGAGGTAATGAATCAGTCACCTTTATTGAGAGCATCTAATCGAACATCAGCTTTACTATTATTTCTTTGCACTCTTCCCTAATTTACAAGAAAAATTATCAGTGCTTCATCCTAGTATAGACCCAAGGAAGTTTAAATTAATGTTTTATATTTTATAAATGCTTCCCTTTTACCATGACCATCTCAGCAAGATAATGAAAGGTTAAGATGTACAACCGTTAATGCTGCCGAATGAAAAAAAAAATGATTCTCTGATAGAGCTCTTTGGAAAAGCAGAAAACAACTTTTAAAAAACTATTACGCATAATCATATATTTTTTAACAAAGAGAGAAAATAGAAGTGTGAAAATAGGGTTAATGGTTTTATAGGACTTCTTTTCACTTTATTATGCTTTTATACTTCACTTCGTAGATTACATAGCCAAAACTTCATCGATTGGGTCATTTTGGCTTATTGAGTCTTTAACTAACACCAGTAAAAGGAGTACTCCTCTACATAAAGCACTTATCATGTTAAAAAAAATTGTTCTTAACAAGAAAATTAGTACAATTAGTTAAGTGGGCAAAATACCGTGATGGACTTCTCAAAGGTAACCCCACATTTTGTATACTTGAATACCTGTTGAAACCACTGAAAGGCACATTAGATATGCAAAATCAAATAATGAAGCAAACATTAGAGGAAATAATATACTATCAAGCATTGGTAAGAATACTTTCAGCACCCCCCCCCCCAAATGTCTGCCTGACAAAATCAAAAATCACAAGATCAAATCTAAGTTCGCATGAGCATGTACCACAAGATCAGTTTCTTTTACGTGAAGCGTCTAAGAATTGAACTGTTATATTCAGTGTCAAAGGTCCATGTGACCAAAACATATGAAAGTTGTTAAAATATGAAATAATTCAAGATTTTTTTTTGACATACTTGAGATTGAAACGGTAAAATAATTCTCGAAGGCTTCAATTCAAAGATCCCTCTCACTCTCATTTATATGAAAATTTGATACAAAGTACATGATTAATAGAGTAACCCTAGACACAATATAATGATGATAAATGATAACTAGCACAAAAGTAAAATAGGTACACATTATAACACTCCCCCTCAAGCTGGAACATACAAATTGTATATACCAAGCTGGAACAAATAAACTCAATCCGAGGACCCCTTAATGACTGTAATGACTTGGTCAACACATTTGCGAGTTGATCATTTGACCCAACAAACTCAGTACATATTTCTTTAGTCAAAAACTTTTCACGAACACAAAAGACAATCAATTTCTATATGTTTAGTCCTCTCGTGAAAAACTGGGTTTGATAGGAAAAAAAAAAAAAAAAAATATGTGGAGAGAAGCTTGATTAACGTAATACGTCTTCATAGTAGGATGTCACAAAAGTTAAGCTCTTGAAGGAATTGTTTCACTCATATAAATTCACATGTTAGTGACACCATCGCCCTATACTCGGCTTCCGTTGTTGATCAAGCTACTACATTTTGTTTCTTACTTTTCCATGAAATAATGTTTTCTCCCAGAAAAACCAATATCCTGTAGTAAACCGTCTATCAATAGGAAAATCTGCCTAATCTGCATCACAATAATGTTTCCTTTATCTTCATATAACAATCCTTGCCTAAGAGCCTTTCTGACATACCTTAGAATGCGAATGAGAGCCTTCCAATGGTCAAGACTAGGGATGGCAACGGGTCAGGTCGGGCAACGATAGTGTCTACCCGCAACCCGACCCGACAAAAAAAAATCCACCCGCTACCCGCACAGATACCCGCTTAAAAAATATCCGCGGATATTTTAAAACCCGCAGATATCCACGGATACCCGTAAATATTTAAAAAAATATATTTTTATAAATTATTAAAATAAAATTTAAATAAAAGTAAAAAAAATATATAAAATATAATAAAAATTTAATTAAATATACATTAAAATTTAATTTTAATTAAATTTAATCATATAAAATATAAATTAATGTTAATTTTGATTAAATTTAACTTAATAAAATATAAATTTAATTTTTATTTTTATTTTTTGCGGGTAGCGGATATCTGCGGCTACGGATAGTATAATACCCGCACCCGACCCGTTTATAAGCGGGTATTAAAATACCCGCTACCCGCGGGTAGTAAATATCCGCGGATATCCACGGGTGCGGATTTTTTTGCCATCCCTAGTCAAGACATGGAGCCTGCATGAACTAACAAACCACTCCAACTGCAAAGGATAGATTTGGCCTTGTAATAGTGAGATAAATCAATTTTCTAACTAGCCCCCTATACCTCTCTGGATCGAAGAATAATTCACCTTCTTTTATCCTTAATTTCACCTCTCTGGTTTAGGTCCATGGGATTGTCTACCAGTCTGATATCAATCATGCATGTTTCATGTAATATATCAAGAGCATACTTCCTTTGGAAGATTAAAACTCCATTTTTTATTGTGTTTCTTCAATTCCTAAGAAGTATTTGAGACTTCCAAGATCCTTGGTTTGAAAATGTCTACACAAGTAATCTTTAAGTTGAGATATTCAAAAAGCATCATATCCTGTAATGACAATATCATCAACATATACTATTAAGTAAACACATTTTCCAAGAGGAAAATGACAGTAAAAGACCGAATAGTCTGCTTCACTGCGTTTTAGCCCAAATTTTTGAATAATGGAGCTAAACTTTCCAAACCAAGCACGTGGTGATTGTTTGAGGCCATATAGAGATTGATGCAATTTGCATACCATACCACACTCCCCCTAAGCAACAAACCCAGGAGGTTGCTCCATATAAACTTCTTCCTCAAGATCACCATGTAGGAAGACATTCTTGATATCCAATTGATGCAGTGGCCAGTGACGAATGGCTGTCATGACAAAGAAGAGGCGAATAGTAGTCATCTTGGCTACAGGAGAGAAAGTGTCACAATAATCAAGACCATAAACCTGAATGTAACCTTTTGTAACAAGTCGGGCTTTGAGCCGATCAAGTTCACCATCAGGACTGACTTTAACTGCATACACCCGTTTGCAACCAACTGCTTTTTTGCCCGAGGGAAGGTGCACCAACTCCCAAGTATTATTGTGATCAAGAGCATGCATTTCTACAATCATAGCTTGTCACCATCCAGAATGATCAAGTGCTTCTTTCATGTTCTTGGGTATAACAACAGAAGACATTGAGGATAAAAGAGAAAAATAGGAGGGCAACAATTGATGATAGTTAAGAAAATTATAAATGGGATGAGGGTTTTGAGTGGAATGAGTACCTTTTCTGAGGGCAATAGGTCAGGCTGAATCATTTGCACCAGGAGGCGTGGTAGGAGGTGACGAGGGAGAAGAATCTAAAGTAGGAGATTCACCATTTTCTTGTGGAGGTGGACTATCCATCGGGGCCCTGTGTGGGATGATCTCAATATGTGGAGAAGCGGGTGCAGGAGGATTTTGATCAAGACTTGGATTGACAGAGACAGTAGAGCTATTTGACTCACCCAATGGAATAGGACGGACCTGCTAGAGGATAAAAACATTTTGAACAGATGGAGAGAAGTAAGGAGTCTGTTCAAAGAATGTGACATTGGCAAACATGTAATACTTCTTAGTTTCATGAGAGTAACGCCAATATCCATTTTGGAATCGAGAATTGCCTAAGAAGACACATTTGAGAGTGCGAGCGGAGAGTTTGTCTAGTCTTGGAGACGTGTCATGAATAAAACATACATAGCCAAACACTCGGGGAGATGTGTGAAAGAGAGGAACATTAGGAAACAGAATGGAGAAAGGGACTTTATGATCAAGAGAAGAGGAGGGCATGGCATCCCCCCAGTGATGGACAGGAATATGAGCATCAAGCAAAAGGGTACGAACAGTGTAAGTCAAGTGTCTATTTTTTTGTTCTACTATACTATTTTACTGCGGTGCATGAGGACAAGTGGATTAATGTAAGATACAATGAAAACTCGAGATGGCAGAAAAGGAGGATGAGAAATACTCTTTGGCATTATCACTTCTTAATATTTTGATTCCTTTTGAGAAGTTTTAGATCCATTTGCAAGGGTTATATGAAATGAGGTTTTTCTCAAAAGGAAATAGATGAGAACAAAGAGGTATTACCAGAAATGTGATCATAAGCACCTGAGTCAATTACCCATGAATTTTGATCTTCCATGGATTGAGAAATACAGGTTGTTAATGTACTGGGAGATTGAGATGGTTGTGCCAATCTGTTAGACTTTAACCTTAGATATTCTTGATATTCATCCTCGGTGAACTTAGAAGTCGAAGTTTCAATATTCGAAATATTTGCGGTTTTGGAAGGGAAACCATGTAAGGAGTAGCAACTCTCTTGAGTGTGACCCATCACAGTATGTACATTGAGGACGTCCCCGACCTCCTCGATCTCCTCGTCCTCCTCCTCTAATGCCACGTTCTCCTCTTCCTTGTGTGGCAACCATGACAAATGGTTCCACTAGTTCATGTGCTTCCTAAGTTTGAGGTACCGGGACATGCAGAAGTTGATTGGTCAAAATCGAGATGTAAGGCATGAAGGATCAACACCATGTAGTATTTGTCTAGTTTCTTCTTGATATCCTCTAATGAGTCTGCTTTCAAAAACATCCTGAGTTCTTCGACAGCAGATTGGGATTCAACCATGAAGGACACCATATCATGGTTTGCCATTTTAAGAGATGCAAGCTCGTATGGCATAGATACTTAGAGCTTTCTTCCAAAAGGAGTGACAAGTTTTGAAAGCTCTCAGAGATATAAGAAGTTTGGGTTCCATTGATTGTCTTAACAGAGCACACAACTGGAAATCTGCTTATTTCCACAAGTCAGCTTTATCAGTCGTCTTGCTCAAGGTGATCATAATGACCTTGACCAAGAAACCACATCTCAACGGCAACCAACCAAGATAAGTAATTTTTTCCATTACTTTTCAAACGTGATGGAGGGACTTCCGGGTAAAGAGATGGCACTCCCAGAAGCCATTTCGGATCAAGGGATAAAGAATCCGAAGGAGAAATCGCAAACCCTAGGTGACTATCAAAAGGGTTTCTATCTGGACGTTAACAAAACACGGTTCAAAGGGGTAGAACGAAGAGAGGAGAGGCTGGCGACCACTATGGTGGTGGTGCGATGGCGTTCCGGCAAAAGGATGCCGACATATGAGCAGCACACGCCTGTTCGCAGTCCCCAAAGATGTTGTATGTGGCTGCGCGTGGAGGAGAACGAAGCTCTGACATCGGTGGGGTTGGTTGTCGCACGAAGAGGCGAACCAAATCTGGTGGTCACCGGACGAAACTGTGACGGTGGCCAACGGCGGACAACGATGGACAGTGGTGGACAGCATCGGAATGGCAGGGAACAGAAGTTGATGGTGACAAACTTCAGTGGACAGCTTCTCATAGTGGCAAAACAGTGCCAAACGATGGTGGACAGCAGCAAACGGGCGCCGAAGAACAGCAAATGGTGTCGGACAGTTGCGAACAGCAACTAGGGTTTGGAGACTAGACAAAAACCAGAGCGGGATCGACCCGCTCTGATACCAACTTGAGATTGAAACTGTAAAATAATTCTCGAGGGCTTAAAAGATCTCTCTCACTCTCATTCTATATATATGAAAGTTTGATACAAAAGTACATGATAAAGAGAGTAATCCTAGACACAATATAATGATAATAAATAGGGTAACCCTAAACACAATATAATGATGATAAATAGGTACATATTCTAACATGCATCAAGGAGCTTAAGAATCTAGAAGACTTGGTTATGCCTAGTGTAAATATCATTATTTATGACCATATAATAAATGAAAGCAACAAATCATTTTTGGCCCCATTCTTCTAGAGGAATATTAAGCTTCAATCTGATAAGACGGGTCTCTAAACATTGTTCAGTTCTCAAGAACAAAGATCTCTAGTGTTAGAATGTATCTTAACCTACTTAATTATAACATATTCAAGTGATTCTACCCATCAGCTTAAGTGTTTTATATAATAGGATATATAGAAGAACAGAGAATAAACTTATTAATAATTTAAACATGATTTAATGTGATTTCAGACTAGGTGTGTTTGATAGAGAGAAAAGAAATAGAAGAGGAAGTAGGTAGGTGACAAAAGAGAAGACAAATAGGTGAAAATAGGATGGTAATAGATGTTGTTTAGTTGAAAAAGAGAATAATATTATTTTTATTTTGTTTATATTATTATTATAACTTCGTAAAAGAATAACAAAAGGAAGGGGGTTGTTCAGAGAGTGTTTCATGCAAACACAATTTTCTTGCTCTTCTTTCTTCTGTGCAGAAACTTATTCGTGTGCATTCACCTACCAACTTGACATTTAGTTGAAATTGAAGGATTGAGATAGGAAGGACAAAGAGAGTTAAACTACTCAAAATCTTAAACAGACATAACTTCATGATATAAAATATATATATATATATATATATATATATATATATGTATATGTATATATATATAAAAACTAACCCCTTACTTATTCTAATTTAGACTCCTAATCCTAGGGGATCATTTAATAAACTATAAAATATGAAAATACTCCCAAGGGATCATTTAATATACTAAGACTCAAAAGCCAAAGCTAACTAAGTTTGTTGTTACATTTAACAAGAAAAGAAAATTAAAAATGATGCACCAAAATGGAGCTGAACTGGGTTTGAACTACATTAGAGACAGAAGCAGGACAAAATCACGATTAGACCCGAAATTGTCTAGGAACAGACATTGTCTAGAACTAATGACAACACTGACGAAAAGAAGAAATGGATCTTACCATCAAACAAGAAAAGTCGGTGGTCCAATTGAGCCACCTAGCAATGGGAAGGTAGCTAATTGGGACAAGTGGGTTGGATACAACCGGAGATAACTAGGGCAAACGTGTTCTATCATGGACGAGAAAGGTTGACAGTTGAAGTGATATGACGTGACACAAAATAGTTTCATAAACCACTATTTTTTACTAATACTAGATCACTTGACTCCCAAGTCTCAATCCTAATTAATGAAGTGAAAAACCCATGAAATTGAAATCCATAACGACTCCTAAGAGATATTTAACACACTCGAAGATATTCAAACAAAATCTAAGGTGAAAATGTTTAGGTTGCCACTGGATATTATCGAGCAATCTATCAGAAAATCTAAAACAAAACATGTCACAAAAGAATGACGTCAATAGTTGGAGTCTATATCAGCTGATATGTGAGAATAAATATAAATGAAATTTTTATATAACTGTACAAAATAAGTATCCAAAAATAACTTGCAACTGTTTTATTTAAACAGTGTAATACTACCACCTCCCTTTAACATTCTTTCTATCCACAATAAATATGATTCTTACTTCATTTTTGAGTTAGCATGCCCAACAGCTGCCGTGAACTTTTCTTCAACATTGCTAACATCAGCCAATGCCTTTCTCACAGCTGTATTTGGTAGCCAGAATAAGCGAAAATGAAAAGTGTGTTATTCCACGCAATTTTAACCCAAAATGAGTTCAGTTAATACTTACAAGTACCATATTTGCCACTACTTTTATCCATACCCTGTTTGAGACCAGCCTTCACGATTAAAGTTGCATAATAGTTAGACATATGGAGTGTAATGTAACCAAGGACAGACTCAAGAATACAAATATTTAGACCTGAAAAACTATTACAAGTTCAGAATGTTTATGTTACCTTTGGATTACTGGTATTGTTAAGAATATTCCCTTTGCCAGCCACCACGGTACTCCTTCTGCATAAATTGCAAAGGAGGAGCGAGAACATATAGATAGATCACTACAGTGCTTTTACATATTTCAGGCATATAGAAACATCTACAAGAAATGAATATCATTCTGCAAAATGTTGTCATGGTTTCACAAAAAACAACTGTTTCAGGCAATGACATAAAAAACACAAAACAAGCCAGCAGATTCAGACTTCATATGAATAGCATATAGCATAAAAGATACAATCTTGAGACAAGCCCGTCCAATTTGAACTACAAGAGGCCGTTAAAAGCTCGGCTTTCTAAAACCCCTTTCACTAATATGACACGACTAAAGGGCTTCCTTATCTATCTGATATCTCATAAAAGCAAACAATTAATCAAAATCACTTTGACAAAACATTAGATTTCTATAGATATTCACGATTTCAACATCTAGAAACCACCTATGGATCAGAAAGCACATCATTTGAAGTCCACTAAGGCACCATACCTTGAATTTGCAACTGTTCCTCTGGCAGAAGTCCTAAATAAACAACCAAAATCAGTTCTGAATAATATTTACACATACGTATTAGCTATAAATTCCCAATCACAAAAAAAAAAAACTTACGTATTCCCATCACCAGCTTTAGTCCGGTCCATTTCCGAAAATACCTTGAACTTCCTACCACCCACTGCTCAATATACATACAAAATCACCAAAAACATATAGCATTTCGAGAGCAACAAAAAACAACACACAAAAAAAAAAATCAACCAAATACATATATACCGCTTGGGCGAGATTGGGCGGCAGCAGCGACCACAGAGGCTCGGGTTGAGCCCACTCTAGATTTTTCCTGAAGCATGCAAGAACCAAACAAGAATTAGGGTTTAAAGGCAGAATCGAAGGTGAAAACCCCGTGAAGAATGGTAGCAGGATTGTGCGAAATTTGAAAATCGGAGAGTGAAATGATTGAAAGGTGCAAATTGAAATAGTGAAAATTGGAAGTGAAATCCTTACCGTGAGAGAAACCATTGAGGTATTGGTTTGAAGTGTTGAAGAGCTTGATGCAGAAAGGCAGAGAAAAAAAGAAGAGAAAAATGTACCGTTGAGAGCGAGTGAAAATTGAATGAGAAAATCACGCGCCTTTGTCTTTAGATTTTGAATTTACATGCTTTCACGTTGATACCCTCCTGCTTTACACAACCAAGACATAAAATATATAAATAGGAATTTCTTTTTATTTTTAATTATATAGTAAATAAGTTTTAAGTCAACGCAAATACGATATTAATTCTTACGATTTACGTAAAAAATAATTTTGGTGTTTGATAGAAGAATTCTTTTTAATTTCTGAAATTGGAAAAGTTTGTTATTATAAAAAAATTAACATTTGTAGAAAATAATGTTACTGGAAATGATTTTTAACTAACTTTTTCACCAAAATATTCCCGTAAAGAAAAGTAGAAACTAATTTCTCAAGTTAAATAAGTACTTTGGTGAAATTAATAAACTATGAAGTTATTTTAATAAATCATTTATTGTGGTAAAAACAACATATTATGTTAATAATTTCTATAAATTGTGTACAAATACTTTTCTACAATATTTACTGATCATCAACCAAAGAGACTTTATTCATTTCTTATAATCTTAATTTTCTTATTCCTGATTCTATCAATCATGGTTTTTGGTCATGAAAAAAAAAATCTTTTACAAAACAATAGTGTTATTTTTAGTCCTTACCTTTTATTATAATTAGTTTAATGTTAAATTTATCTTGCTTCAATAACTCGCTTTTTAATATTTAGAATTTAATTAGAAAGTTGTCATTTGATTTTAATATATTATTTTTAATTTATAATTACAATTTTGAATTATTATAATGTAATTAATTTTTACTGTTTAAGAGCCTAAATCGTGTATTAAATGTGGTAGAATGTTTTAGATAATGATATTCAATTATTTTAATAAAAAACATAAATAGAATTTTCTATTAAGAAGTTTTATTATCTAAAATTCATTATCTTTCTAAAATTCTTTCTCTTAAGAAGTCTGCAACTTTTAATTTATGTTAATTTGTCTGAAGATTAGAGACCCTTTGAGTGATCCTTGAGGTGAGATTTTCCTTTCTAAATGATCAATTTCTATAAAAAAAAATAAGTTGTTTTCTATTTTTTTCTTTAGGTTTGGGCGTTTTATCCATATTTGAGTTTTTCTCTATCAACCTGAAGTATGAGTCTTTCATAAGACTCTTTGTTCATTAGTGGTACTAAGGATATGTTCTTATAAGAATTTGTGGCTTGTATGAACAAAATAGGCTTTTTGGAGTTGTAAGAGCGGTTATGGTATTAGAAAGTGGGTTTTAAGCCTAACTCAACCCCACAAAACCGGCTTGTAAGGTGAGGTTTGCACCTCACTTATATATTATAATTTGGCCTTATCTCTAGTCGATGTGGGACTTCCAACATATGGACTTCGTATACTCATCTAATTATCAACACATGTAAGGGAAGCTAATTAGTTTAAATTTATTTAATGAACAAGTTTCAATCTATGCTTATATGCTTGTATGATGATTGAATTTTGTGCTTCAGTTGTCAAATGATTTTTGACTTGTTTAGTTGGATTGTAAATGATGTAATTGGTCTATGAATTATATATGTTTAAATCTTTGAAATGATTGTATATAAGTTGAGAATTTTGGTAGATTATGCATCTAGAATAAGTATTAGATTGTGTTGCAAAGACTGGTAAGTCATAATTATGCAAAACTATTATTCTACATAACTATGCAGACTTGATAGGCAAGCATAATCTCATTGAGCGAGCTTAAATTCAGAGAGTAACTGACTTTACTATCGTTGGGCGAGTTTTCTTGGTGTGAAAAAAGAAAGTAAGTGAGCTAATTGACTTTACCCTCACTAGGCGAGCTTAAAATTCAGGGTAACCTTATCTTTCAATGGATAGGCGAGTGAGTTTCGATTAAGTGAATTATGTTTGTATTTTAAGTTTGGGAGCTCCAGTGTTGAGCTCGATGGACGAGCTATTCATTCGCAAAGTGAGTATACTTGCACACGATACTCGTTGAGCAAATGAGATGGCCTCGCTAGGCAAAAGTAACTTAGTTTAATACAACTTTAAGATGTGATACTTATAAATTATGTGGTGATATTTTAGTTTATAAAAGATATTATAAATGATAATATGTGATGTGGAATTGAGAATGTTGGAACCAATCTAAGGGGAATTGGTGATGATGTGTTATAGCGTAAGCTTTGACATATGGACATTTTGAAAGTAGGTATCTTGATATGCAACTAGTCATTAAACTCACATAGAGATAATGGGATAGGGGAGAGAATGACAAGAGGTTCTTACTCTGAACTTTGTTTCAGGTATAAAAGATTAACCTCGTGAGTAGTAGGATGATAACCCCTACGTTTATAACTTTGTAGAGTATAAATACTACTTGGGGTCCACACCTATAGTGAATAGATATGTCAAAGCGTGTAACTAGACAATTGAGTTTANTGAGACAGAAGCAGGACAAAATCACGATTAGACCCGAAATTGTCTAGGAACAGACATTGTCTAGAACTAATGACAACACTGACGAAAAGAAGAAATGGATCTTACCATCAAACAAGAAAAGTCGGTGGTCCAATTGAGCCACCTAGCAATGGGAAGGTAGCTAATTGGGACAAGTGGGTTGGATACAACCGGAGATAACTAGGGCAAACGTGTTCTATCATGGACGAGAAAGGTTGACAGTTGAAGTGATATGACGTGAAACAAAATAGTTTCATAAACCACTATTTTTTACTAATACTAGATCACTTGACTCCCAAGTCTCAATCCTAATTAATGAAGTGAAAAACCCATGAAATTGAAATCCATAACGACTCCTAAGAGATATTTAACACACTCGAAGATATTCAAACAAAATCTAAGGTGAAAATGTTTAGGTTGCCACTGGATATTATCGAGCAATCTATCAGAAAATCTAAAACAAAACATGTCACAAAAGAATGACGTCAATAGTTGGAGTCTATATCAGCTGATATGTGAGAATAAATATAAATGAAATTTTTATATAACTGTACAAAATAAGTATCCAAAAATAACTTGCAAATGTTTTATTTAAACAGTGTAATACTACCACCTCCCTTTAACATTCTTTCTATCCACAATAAATATGATTCTTACTTCATTTTTGAGTTAGCATGCCCAACAGCTGCCGTGAACTTTTCTTCAACATTGCTAACATCAGCCAATGCCTTTCTCACAGCTGTATTTGGTAGCCAGAATAAGCGAAAATGAAAAGTGTGTTATTCCACGCAATTTTAACCCAAAATGAGTTCAGTTAATACTTACAAGTACCATATTTGCCACTACTTTTATCCATACCCTGTTTGAGACCAACCTTCACGATTAAAGTTGCATAATAGTTAGACATATGGAGTGTAATGTAACCAAGGACAGACTCAAGAATACAAATATTTAGACCTGAAAAACTATTA